GTTCTATAGGATACGGACGGTTGTCGCTTGCCAAGTCCTCAGTGGCTCTTCAGAGTCAGAAACTCATCTCCTCAATGTCCCTCAAGGTCTTCCTTTCCACTATAGGCTTGTCCAGTTGAGAGCAGGAAGGTCCTCGGATGTCACCTAGCCCAAACTCCTGCTGCCATTTCATGAATGAACAGGGAGGCTCAGAGAAAGAAGGTGACTTCCTTAAGGTTATATATAACATCATAGTTGTTCTGAAACCAGAACCTGGTTCTACTGCTCCCCATCTGTGCTCTCTCCTCCACACCAAACTGCTTCCATCGCAAAGAAACAGTCATTAAGACACATTCTTCATTCCCATGTCTGAAGGAGAGAGACCCCATCCAATCAATCCCGCTCAGACACAGCAAGAGAATTAAGCTCTATGCCCCATGGCATCCATTACATTGTATGGAATGACTTCATCTCTCTCTACGTTCCCTAGGAAAGTGATAGCTATGTGCCATCTTTAGGAAGAATAGTCACGGAAATAATTTTCTCTTGCAAAAACCCAACTGAGAAAAAGCTACTAGAGTTTAGCCCCTTTGAATGATCGAATCTCCTCAGATCAAGGAGTCCTTCCTATGACCAACTGAAATCTCTCCTGCTTTAATTTAAAACCATCTCCCTTTGTACAGTCCCCTTAAATGTGGAGAATTTATTAGCATGTCTCTCATTAAATGCTGGCATAGCAGGAAATTAAATCCATCTGGTATAATCAGCTGTTCTGAAAGCTTTCCTGGTTGCTCCGCTGACTTTATGGTTGCCAAGGTGATTGCAAATTGATTGTTTGATGATTTGTTCTAGGATCATTCCAGGTATCCATGTTAAGGTTAGACATCAACAAAACCAAGAATGAATGTTAGAGACCTTCCATGATGGTAAAGGAGACCCTAGTCCCAAGGGAACAAGGAATATTTCATTTGAAGAGGAGAGAGCTCAGGCGAATTCTAGGGAATTCTCCCAAAAGTTTAAGGACAGTTGTGGAGAAGCCGGTAAAGACTTGTTTTGAGTGGCCTCAAGGGGGCAGACTTAAGATCTATGGGTAAATGCTCCAAGAAGATGGATTTCAATTCCGTATCTGGCTGGTTGGAGAAATACACACTGACGAGAGTTGGTGAGCTTGCCTTCACTGAAGATGGCTAAGAGTTTGGTGGATGCTTTGTGTAAGGAGTTGACAAACTGTGAGGTGCTTCATTCAAAAACCACGACCATTCCACCCAGCTCTGTAACTCCATAATGGTGACTTTCATTATCATTCTTCTCTCTAAGGTACCACACTGCATTCCCCTTTTCATTCTTTTTCACAGCAGCTCAGATTTAAAGTAAATGACTCATTACCCATATTCAAAGGGTCTTTCACAATATGATATAAAAAGACAAATATGCATTCTATATACACATTTGATTCCAAAAGAGAACAGTAATAGTAATTGCTCTTTTCCAAGGCAGTATGCTAAGCATTTTTCATGCATCTAATCTTATGTAATGTAAGTGTCATGAGATGATACTGTACAGGGATCACATTAAAAACAGACATTTAAGACCGTCGCTTGGAAAGAAATCTACAGATCTTTCTCTGCTCAGAGGATGGTAAAGATGGAAGGAATCTTGTCTAAACCAAGACCAAGATAAGCGTTTCCTAAGCCATCCAGCTATTGGTGTGAGGGCATTCCCTGGTACCACAGAGACTTCCTCCTGTTCAAACATTCATTCAGTAAATCAAAGTATGTTTTTTTCTCCCTGTTTGGCAGGCAGGAAACGATAAATTGGTGTCTTAAGGGATTAACAAAATATGTAATTAGGCACTATCAATCACCATAAAAGAGCCTGCTTTTCCTTACATCAGATAAAGGTGGATTTAGTCTACTAAGAACTTTCCAGTTCAACTGTAGCATTAACTCTCTGAGGCCACAAGGCCAGTGAGCATTGCCAGTCCAACTCTTTGCTGAGAAACCACAGGACAGCGTTAAGCAGTCAACGAACCAACGAAAGTGAGGCTTGGAGCAGACCTGGACCCGTAATCTTCCCTGCCACTTTTGACTGAACACTTATATCTGCACTTTAGTTTCCTCATTTGCAAAGTGGAGTGTGTGTGTGGGGGGGGGGGGGAGCACAAGCTAAAAGATCTAATTAAATTCTTTCCCATTCTAACTCTCTCTAATCCTATGATTCTAAAAGGAAGGAAGCCAGGAGAAGACTCTAGGTGTGAAGACAACAGACAACATCTTGTAATTCCTACCAACTTGGTGATGGCAAGGGGTGGGGGTGGAGGATTGGAGAGATTGATTGTCCATTCGGTAAAGCTGGAGGGCAAAGGCCTAGAACTTCCTTGTTGACATAAGAGTCTTTCCCTCTTGATTTAGTGTTTGTGGGGTTTTTTTTTAAAGGTGTTTCCTAAAATATTCACAGTTATGACTTATGTTTACATCTAAATAACCAATTAGTGCTTGTCCTAAAAGGACTTTCTTTGTTCTTCTTTTTTTGTTCCGGGGAGCTTAAACAACATAATTATTTATTCCATAGTTTCACAAACAGGAAGGAGCTTTGCTTAGCTCTACAATTTGGGGAAGATGTATATTTAAAGAAATGTTGCATAACAGACACTACCTCTTCCTAAAATGTGTCATACCAGAACCAATTTTGGAAAACACAAACATGAGGTGGGTATATTTGAAAATTGTGTGAACATAATAGGTCCTTAATAAATATTGGTAACTTTTATGAGAACTATGATTTTTAAGGCATCTGTCTTGCAAAATCCATTTCTGCCCAAGAAGCAAGTTAAAGGGGGCGTGGAGGTTAAATTTTGTTTCTGGGCTTTGCTTCCAGAGTAAAGTATTTTATCATTCTATTAGAGAAGGCTAACAACATAGTCATATGACTAACAACTGCTGAGTAATTTATATAAATTTTATTTATAACCCATATTTGTGCAGTATTTACATGTGCAAAAACATTTTCACCTTTATCATATCATCTGATTCTCAGCCCAATGGCAGTGACTTTATTCCCATGTAAAGATGGAGGAAATTAGACCCCATCTTTTTAATTTGCCTAAGGAAAATGAGCCAGAAAGTTCTAAGACGGGGGATCTGGAACCTGGGTATCCAATTCCAGTTCCAGTCCTTATTCCTTAACCTCCATCCCTTTCTGCATTGAAAGGAATAAAAGATGGGTTTTAGACTCAGGCAGGCCTGGGTTCAGCTTCTGCCCCTGGCACTGTCTGTTCCTGAGCCCCTGGGCAAGCTATATTCCTCTTTGGGCCCTATTTGTAAATTAAGCTAAAAATAATACCCATGTTCTGTCCGTTCCCCCCCCCCCCCACACACACACCCACCATGGAACTGTGGGAAGGATTACATGAAATAATGCATGAAGAGCACATAGCAGAATGTTCCATAAATATTAGCCATTGTTATGTTATTATGCAATCTACAAAGTATGTTGGCTACACTGTATGAAATACTTTCAGTTTTTCAAAGACACTCCTAATACATGTGAAGTCAAACCCTGAAAATGAATTTCTAACAGTAAAGTTATATGCCAGATGCAAAGGATAGTGGTTCGTAGACAAAGATCTTAATTGGAAGGCTTGGTCTGAAATTATCTGTTGCTTTCTGTGGCTTCAAAAACATCCTTAACGCAAGCATTCATGATCATCTGAGTCATTTGAAATTGCCATTTTTCAAAGTTGAGAGCCACAGAATAGCGGCAATTTCAAATGGCTCGACCCGGCAGATCAACACCCATGGCAGCAGATGAAAGGGCGGATTTTTCTAGCTGCAAGGGGATTACGGAAGAAGTTAGAGATGAAATGAAAACTATTCCATTTTCATCCCAACAGAAAAATGGAGTGATGCCACACTCCTAAGAATTAAAAATTAGAGCAGACAACTTGTTCTCTCTGTCCCACAACACACACGTGCATATTATATACCCCAGCTCCAAATGAAACTCAGTGGCTGAAACTGTATGTCTCAATGCCTGCAAATTTCCAAGGAGGGCACCAAAAGTACTCCAGCATGCTGAGGAAATCAGCAGCTGTTGAAGTCACCTCCTGTGGTGTTGCCAAATGTTTGAAAGGGAATAAGCCTGTGTCTCCACGGGGGAGCGGACAAGGGGGAGGTCCAGGGGCATAGGTGAAGGGGTTAGAGTACCTGGATGGGGCGCTCTGCTCGCCTCCAAGCGAGCGTTTGTGTGCTGTTTACTTCTGCGTGTGCCCATGCCTTTCTGCTTCTGTGTTTGTCTCTGTGTTGGGCAGGGTGACTTTGCGCTAGTCAGCTTCCGAGCTCGCCAGAGTGTTTGTCGGTGCGCTGGACGGGTGTGTCTCGGTGTCGATGGCTGTGTTTCCGTATAAGCCTGAGCTTGTCTGTCGGAGTGCATGTGTGCCTGTCCGTGCGTGTCTCCGTGGGCACTCGCCTCTATTTCCGAGTGTGGGGAAGTGCCCGAGTGCCAGCCCCTGACCTGAGATCTCAGGCCGCACAGGCGCCCAGGGCGCACAGGTAGCAGCCACAGAAGAGCCCGAAGCTCCCGGGTTGGCTGGTGAGGCACGCCAGCCTCAGCTCCAGCCCCCCGGGCCAGCCAAGGGAGCCAGGAGGGGTGGTGGCCCGCCCGCCCCAAGTAGCTGGGCCCCTCCCGGGCCAGCGGGCGGGAGAGGGGAGGGGAGGAGCAGGCAGGGAAGGGGACCTCGCCCCTTTGGGGCTGCCCGTGCGCCATTGGCGGAAAGTTCCCGCACGTCACCCGGTAGGCAGTTCCTCTAAAGTCCTGTGCACATAACGGGCAACGCGCACTCCGAGGCAGCTGCTGCGGATCGCAGGCTGGGACTGACCGGCACCGGGAGCCCAGAGCACCCCACGAGCCGAGTGCAGGACGCGCTCCCACCACACCCACCCCACGGCCGCTGAATGAGGCTTCCAGGCGTCCCCTCGCTGCCTGCAGCGACCTGCCGGAGGTCCGCCCTCTGAGGCGCGGCCAGCCTGCCGGCAGCCTTGCGCTCACCTGCCAGCCTGAGCGCCATGGGGCAGCCCGGGAACCGCACCGTCTTCTTGCTGGCGCCCAATGGAAGCCACGCGCCGGACCAAGACGTTGCGCAGGAACTGGATGAAGCGTGGGTGGTGGGCATGGGCATTTTCATGTCGCTCATCGTCCTGGCCATCGTGTTTGGAAACGTGCTGGTCATCACAGCCATTGCCAAGTTCGAGCGTCTGCAGACGGTCACCAACTACTTCATCACCTCCCTGGCCTGTGCTGACCTGGTCATGGGCCTGGCGGTGGTGCCCTTTGGGGCCAGCCACATCCTAATGAAAATGTGGACTTTTGGCAATTTCTGGTGCGAGTTTTGGACTTCCATTGACGTGCTGTGCGTCACAGCCAGCATTGAGACCCTGTGCGTGATTGCAGTGGATCGCTACTTCGCCATCACGTCACCCTTCAAGTACCAGAGCCTGCTGACCAAGAATAAGGCCCGGGTGGTCATTTTGATGGTGTGGATTGTATCAGGCCTTACCTCCTTCTTACCCATCCAGATGCACTGGTATCGGGCCACCCACGAAAAAGCCATCAATTGCTATGCCAAAGAGACCTGCTGTGACTTCTTCACAAACCAAGCTTATGCCATCGCCTCCTCCATCGTTTCCTTCTACCTGCCGCTGGTGGTCATGGTCTTCGTCTACTCCAGGGTCTTCCAGGTGGCCAAAAGGCAACTCCAGAAGATTGACAAATTCGAGGGCCGCTTCCATGCCCAAAACCTCAGCCAAGTGGAGCAGGATGGGAGGAGTGGGCATGGACATCGGAGGTCCTCCAAGTTCTGCTTGAAGGAACACAAAGCCCTCAAGACTTTAGGCATCATCATGGGCACGTTCACTCTGTGCTGGTTGCCCTTTTTCATCGTCAACATTGTGCACGTGATCCAGGATAACCTCATCCCTAAGGAAGTTTACACCTTCCTAAACTGGGTGGGCTATGCCAACTCTGCTTTCAATCCCCTTATCTACTGTCGGAGCCCAGATTTCAGGATTGCCTTCCAGGAGCTTTTGTGCTTACGCAGGTCTTCTCTGAAGGCCTATGGGAATGGCTACTCCAACAGCAATGACAAATCTGACTACGCAGGGGAGCAGAGTGGATGCCACCCGGGACAGGAGAAAGACAGCAAACTGCTGTGTGAGGATGCCCTGGGCAGGGAAGACTTTGTGAACCGTCAAGGTACTGTGCCTAATGATAGCATTGATTCACAAGGGAGGAATTGTAGTACAAATGACTCACTGCTCTAATGCAGTTTTTCTACTTTTTAAAACCCCCTTCCCCAAAACAAGACACTAAATAATTTAACTTGAGTGTAATAAATTTAGAATAAAATTGTATAGAGATGTGCAGGAGGAAGAACATCCTTCTGCCTTTCTTTTTTTATTTTTGTAAGCTGTAAAAAAGAGAAAACGTATTTGAGTGATTGTTTCTTGTACAGTTCAGTTCCTCTTTGCATGGAACTTGTCAGTTTTTGTCTGAAGGGCTTCAGTCCCAGAGGACCTGGGGCTGCTATGTTTTGATGACTTTTCTGCATTATCTACCTCATTGGTCAAGTATTAAGGATAATATATTGCTGCTGGTAATTTGTATCTGAAGGAGACCTTCCTTCCTGCACCCTTGGAACGGAGGATCTGGAGGATCTTGGACCTTACAGCTGTGAACCCAGTCTCTCCCCACTCCTCTTATTTACTGAAACAGGGTGTTTGTTGTAGGCAGGGATTTCAGGGGTAGCTTCGGTTGTTTTCCTGAGCAAAGTCTAAAGTTTACAGTAAATAAATTGTTTGACCATGACTTCACTGCACCTGTCTCTCCAAAACCCCTTGACTGGAGTGTGCTTGCCTCCCCCGCTGGAAACCACAGGTAACTATTTGTAATAACTGCCCGGTGACTTAATGTGGAATGGCACAGGAATGACATGCCCTGATTGCTTAACCCTTTCATTTGCCTTGGATTCTGTTGCCTGCAACCTGTATCTCTCCTAATGCTGGGGCTGCAGATCAGTTCTGCCTGCTCCCAGCCTAGCTCGTCTCGCTGGTCCTACGGTGATTATTCTTTGTTGTTACATCAGAAACACTGACTCATAGAAGTGGAGCTATGAGCATCTGTTGGGCCCCTTCATGCACCCCCACCACCCACCTTCTAGTTCTACCTGCTTAATAGCTGCCCATATTTTGTGTCTGCTGTGTCTTATAGTGGGGGTCTTTGTGTTGCATCAGGGATTGGCATTTGAAGGATAAGGCAGAAGTTATTGGGGGGGAAAAACCATGCTAACTTCACCCTGTAATTTCAAGAGAAACTGAAAGGACATAGGTCAGAGGGAGAAAGGCAAGAAGACACTTAACCAATGAACACTCACAACCTAGAAACAGGATTGTAACCCCTCCTCTTTCTTTAGTTCGTTCCCTTTTCCCCCCTCCCTTTTACTCTTCTCCCTTTAATACAAACCAAGATTTCTCAACCTCAGCACTAGTCTTTGCACCAGATAATTCTCTGTGGTGGGGACTGTCCTATTCATTGTTGCATGTTCAGCACCCGAGATGCCAGTAGAACCCCCTGAATTGTGACAACCAAAAATGTCTCCAAACATAGCCAAACACAGCTCAAGGGGTGAAGAAGTCGCCCCTGGTTGAGAGCCACAGATATAATTCAAAAATCTAAACAGATGTTTAGATTCTGTCTGATGTAGGCAATTTCTTTTGCACAGCCCCAGAGAAGGATTTTGCATGGTTCACCAGTGAGTGACAGGCTCTTTTCACTCCACTCTGCTGCCTTCTGAACTCACCTTGCAGCTGCCCAGACACTGACTGGGGACTGAATTGTTTGGGAGGGTTTATCAATGGAAGCCAGGCCCAGGAGCTGTTACTGCCTGTTTGTAGAGAGATAATGCTGTTAGGAGGCACATGAGGGAAAATCACAAAAGTAAACACATTTCTTCTCTCACCCCCTTTCTATTTTTGCCTGTGTGTCTGAGCCAGAGCTTGGCCCAGGTTTGACCGAGTGGATCGTCCTCCTTGGCAACGCCAGCCTGGAGATCAGCCTGCAGGGTTCATTGCCATTTCTCTGGCTTGGGAAGCTGACTCCACTTTTCTCTTCCCTTCCATCCCAGCCACGGTCCCCAACCAGAAAAGCATTGACCCCTTCTGCTTCCTGTCAGTCCAGTGATGGGAGTCTGGGTGAGCACTGAGCTCTCAGAAAAGTTAGGTGCCTATGGTTTTGGAATGTACCATGGAGAATTGGAGAGCATCTGCCATTCAGCACTTTTAATTTTTCTCCAAGGGCTTCCATACCTACCATCACATTCTCCTTCTCCTGCTCTGGGCCCCACACCCCGAGATGTAGACAGCTTCTCCAGCTAATCCCCACCCTCCTCGTAGCCTCATGGGATCTTGGACTTAGAAGAGCCCATAGAAAGCATTCGACATCTGAAGAGACCAAAACCTACAAGGGGGAATGACCTGCCCAAGGTAAGAAGCCAAAGATGTCAGAGATGGGGTTACAGCCGGGGAACCGGCTGTCAGGTGGTCCAGGAACTGGTGTGTTCTCTCCATCACATGCTCATTGAATTTCGCCCTTACCCTCGATAGTGGAGGCTTTGACCTGGGGCTGTCACATAGCATGTTCATTTCAGAGAATGTTTTCATTGCGTCTGGGTTCTTAACACAAAATTCAGGCAATAAACAAACAATCTGACATAGGGACAAGAGAAAGAATGTCCTTTTACTCAGCCAGAGTCCACAGAGGGTATCTTTAGCAATTAGAGAAGCCGGGAGATTCCTTAACTCTTTATGACCCAACAGGAGTTTCAAGCCACTCCAGGTAGAGATTTCCCATAGTCTTATGTCAAAAAGAAAACAAATCAGAAACTTTCCTGTCCTCATTTGTAAATCTCATGGGCAATAAATATTGTTAATAGACAGTTATAATATATATATACTCTTTTGGTTAGAGGAGCATCTGATGTAATTTCAGTTAAAAGTTTAGCTATGGATGTTAATTCCGATTCCTAGATAAAAGGGAGTTTAGCCATATTCCTGTCCTTTTAGGAATACTTGAAGAACTTTGCTCAGTTTTAAGGGTCTTGACAAACAGGAACATTTTAGGCCCATCTCAATCCCTTGCTTTCTGCCTCCTTTTGTTTTGCTTTGTTTCTTTCTGGGGCCAGGAATTTGTCAGCGTCCCTGTGTCCCTCTGTTTGCTGACAGGTTGGTTACATAAAGGTTGTGTTGGTTTCATCGTCATAAAGTTTTCTTTGCCTGGACAGCAAGTTCTCAGAGTCTGTCAAATGGGAACCTTATCCTGAGATGCAAGTTGACAGGTGTGCAAAGTGGCAAGACAGGGTGGTTCCCCCATCCCCCCAAGATCATTATTGGAGGAAAAGGAGCTTGGAAATAGGAACTGTCATTACAAGATGCTTAGAATGTTTCCGACAAACCTACTGCCAAGAGAAACCTTGACCAGCATCAGTTGGCGGGGGGTGTGGGGGAAGGGTTGTTATACGGCACCTGCCTTCTGTAGCATCATATTAATAACATTAAACAGATGCTTTGTATGGAGTCTTACTGAATGTTAGGGACTGTGCTAGGCACCTTTTAGATATTATGTCCTCTCAACAACCTTCTGATGGAGGTAGCATAATTGTCGTCATCCAACAAATCAGAAGACGGAGGCTTAGAAAGGTTCAGTAACTTTCCAAAGCTGCACAGCTGGGCAGTCACAGAGTCTGGACTGGAACCCAGGACCATGCGAGTCTGGCACCCATGGCGCCCAGCACACATGCCGACCAGGAAGCAGCATGAGGCAGCTTGTAAGCTGCGCCAGGACAAGTGTGAGAGCTGGAAATGCAATACCTTGTTGAGAGAAGAGGGAGGTGCTGTGGGTTGAAGCACGGAGGAATGTTCCCTCCACAGCATGTGACTGCACGGTTGCTGGGGACCGGGACAGGAAACCAATCACTGGCATGCCGAGTTTGCTTCTCTGAATCTGTGCTTTGTCTTTTCACCAGAAAATCAGTCCAAACTGAGAAGAGGATATGAAACTTTTAAACAAGCCCAGGGTAAATCAGAGACACAGCCTGCCTCGTGTCCTGGCGAATGCAGTTTTGGTTCCAAAGCTGGGGAGGTCTCCTGACTCGAGCAGTTAGCTGAGCCTTATGCAAAGGGTGGCAGGCCGGCATGGCCCAGAGGTGTGCTGTCCGTTCTGAACTGTCACTCTAGGCAGGGGAGATGGGCGACCTTCCGACAGCCAAGAGCAAAGATCAGTGCACTTTGAATGAGACTTTCCATGGACAGTTTCACGCCCACTAACTCAGCTCTGGACTAATCCTTCCTTTACTAACAGTGCAAATATAATGTGAAGGAGGAGTTTTTGACATACCTAAGAGAACAAACTTCCCAAGCACTTTCGAGAACTTGAGAAATACGGGTGTCTTGTGAATAATAGGAGGCAGGGTGAGGTGCAAAGAGACCTAGGTCTGCAAAATAATGGAGTGTGTGCAGGTGGTCTCTAAGCTCTGAGAGAGAGAGGTGCTAAGTAGAGACAGAAGTTTATATTTCTAATTCGAGTTGATGACATTTGTCATATAAATAGTGGTTGAATATCCTGGTGGTGGTCAGCTCGCAGAAAAGGACTATTTGGTGTGTGATAACTGCTTTCAGATATTTAAAAATCACTGGAGGAAGAAGAACTTATCAGTTCTTTTTTGGGGGGGAGGTATGTGCCCCTAGCGGGAACCGAACCCAGGACTCTCTGGTCCACAGGCCGACGCTCCAACCACTGAGCCAAACCGGCCAGGACAAGAGCTTATCAGTTCTATATGAAACCCAGAAGGCAAGCAGAACCTCAGAGGAAAGTAGATTCAGGTAAAGGAAAGACTTTCCTAAGAGTGAAATAGGCTAGCTCTCAGAATGGTGTGCCTCTGGTCATTGGGAGCATTCAAGGAGGCCCAGATAAAGTTCTGTGCGGGATGAAGCCCACAGAGTCCCTGCACGGCGTGGGAGCTGGGCTCAGCTCCTTTCAAAGCTGTGAATTCTATGTCTTTGAAAACAATAGACTTGAATTTTTTTAAGAAGTATGCAGACCGTTCCCTAATCCCAGCAAGCCTTCTCCTAATTCAATTGGATTTCAGAGGTTTCATTGCATTCCTAAACAGGAAAACCTCCGAGGGAAATCAGGATCTCAACAGTCCTTGGCCCTGGTGGAAATCCAGAAATAGAGCAGTAATGTTAAGCAGTTTTCCAAACTATTAGACCTCTTCATCAGCTGCTCTTCCCATGCCTTTTGCAAATGACCTACTAACTCCCAGAGAGAGAATAAGGAGAGCTACATAGTCCTGTCTGCAAAGGCTATTACATCCTTCCCCACCCTCGGAATCACTGCACTTCCTGTGGTCTTTCCGTCACCCTCGCAGGCCTGGAAGGAAGGGAGGCAGGACCCTGGCCAGCACTGAGCACTCTGGTCTGGGAGCCTGGAGGCAGGGTCTGGCGGGGCCCAGCCACTAACCAGCTGGGCAGCCTCAGGCAGGTTACTTCCCTGCTCTCATCATCTCTAACGAGAAACAGTTTGGTTGATACGTGTCCTGTGTTTCCTTCTTTCTCCAAAATTCTGTAAGTTTTCAGGAAGTCTGTAGTGCTGTTCATCTGGCCGCATTGCTTTTATTTTAAAAACACTTTTTTTTTTCTTGTTAAAAGGGCAATGCAGCTCATTGTAGAACATTTAAAAGAGTATGGAAACACAAAATGAGCTAAATCACACATAACATCGCCAGCTAGACTCAGCCACTGTTTCCTGGGATGTGCTCGGCCCATCCTTGTCCTGAGCACGGCTATCCAATGTGCATAAACACATTTTAAATAAATGGAATTCGATTATTCATAGAATTGTAAACCCACTGCTAATACTTTTACACGCCTCCTTGTATATATTTTATGCCTAATGTGATCCAGGCATCATCATTCCTGTCCATCTATTGGCCTAGTGGTTAGAATTATCACCCTCCCCCCCAAGCATCTAGATTAGAAGATCTGAATTGGGGCTCAAGAATCTGCCTGTTAGCAAGTTTGCCAGGTTTCTCCAACATGGGGGGTCCATGGACCACATTTTGAGAAACAAGGTTACAAAGATGCATTTTACAAATTAAACAGAATCCTTCCTCCCCACCCCTTCTAGCAGACGAAAAGATGTTTCTATGCTCGTCTCTTTGTTTTTTTGTTGTTGTTGTTGTTTTGTTGTTGTTGTTGTTGTTTTTATCCTCACCTGAGGACATTTTTCCATTTTTTGTTCAGGTAGAGTGGGAGAGAGAGAGAGGAACAGAGAGAGAGAGAGAGAAACATCAATGTGAAAGAAACACATTGAGTGGCTCCCACCCGCACAACCGACCAGGGCCGAGGACAAACTGCAACCGAGGTACGTGCCCTTAGCGGGAACTGAACCCAGGTCTCTCTGGACCGCAGGCCGACGCTCTAACCGCTGAGCCAAACCGGCCAGGGCATATGCTTGTCTCTTTGAAAGCATGTCCTCTGCACCAGGGACCTCCCAGGGCAGTGTTCTTTGTGCCTTGTTACGTGCCTCTGCCCCCACCTGTGGACCTGTGTTCAAATCAGTCTATTCAGTTCATATCGTGACCAGTGCCTACTATTCAAAAAGCTCAGCAGCAGGTCTCTATTCCATAGAGCACCTCTCACCATCATCATGGCTAACGATCATATTTGCCCCCATCTTATAAAAAAGGAAACTGAAAGTAGAAGAGGTTTAGTTGCCCAAGATCACAGAACCCATTGGAGTAAAACTAGGTGTGCCGAACCAGAGCCCCTGAGCTCGGGGTCAGGTCAGAGAGCCAGAGACCTGCTGAGAGGACATTCCTAATGGGTGCGTTTTGTGGATTCTCCAGGGATTTTTTTTTTTTTTTTTCCAGTGAAGCCTGATGAATTTCTGAGCTTGGAACTGAGGGGTAAGCCCTTGCCATTGAGGTAGTTTGTTGCTAAGTAGTAACGAGAAAACCAGGTTGACCTGAGAGTTAGCAGCAGTCTGAGGCCGAGGAAGGCCCCTGTAACCGCCCACTGGTTTGCGCTGAGTCAAACCACTACCTTTGATCAGGAAACCCTTGACATCTGGAAATGGGGTGCTTTTTCTATATCTCTGCCCAGGTCTGTCTCAGGTTTCACGTTCGAGATGATCAGGGTGTGACGGGCGGTGAGGGAGCCCATCACCTAGGAACCCAGGCCGCCAGAGGCGTGGTCAGCCCCGAGGTACACGGGGCCAGGAGAGGACCGTCTCTCCTGCTTGTTTCATTCTTATTTTTCCAGTGCTGTGAGGGGAAGACTGGAGTTTCTGAATGTGTTCATTTAACCAGGAAGCGAAAACAACTTTTAAAAATCACAGCAGCAACACCCATGACACAGCCCAAGCGGAGCCCCGGGGACTCGTGTGTTCTTCCGACCACGCCGCGTTGGTCTTGCAGCCTGAGGCC